CCCCCTGTACACGCTCCGCGCGGTCACCAGACCCCCGCACCGCTCGCGGTTTGCTTGTGACTTTGCGCTCCGTGAGAGCGTGACCCAGGGAGAGAGAGAAGGTGCGGGGTGACCCCTGCAGAGGGAGTTGAGTTGGTGGCGCGGGACGGAAGCAGCTGGAGGGAGTGAGGTCAAGATTACGCTGCTGGGCTCTGTGTGTTGTGCTTGCGGTTCCGGTAAAGGTTTGGTTGAATACCGTGGTGAGGACTGGTGCTAGGGTGGAGTCTGGGTGACTACCGTGGTGAGGACTGGTGCTCGGGTGGGAGTCCTGGGTGACTACCCTGGTGAGGAGTGGTGCTAGGGTGGAGTCTGGGTGACTACCGTGGTGAGGACTGGTGCTAGGGTGGAGTCTGGGTGACTACCGTGGTGAGGACTGGTGCTAGGGTGGAGTCTGGTTGACTACCGTGGTGAGGACTGGTGCTCGGGTGGGAGGCTGGTTGACTACCGTGGTGAGGACTGGTGCTAGGGTGGAGTCTGGTTTACTACTGTGGTGAGGACTGGTGCTAGGGTGGAGTCTGGTTGACTACTGTGGTGAGGACTGGTGTTAGGGTGGAGTCTGGTTGACTACTGTGGTGAGGACTGGTGCTAGGGTGGAGTCTGGTTGACTACCGTGGTGAGGACTGGTGCTGGGGTGGAGTCTGGGTGACTACCGTGGTGAGGACTGGTGCTAGGGTGAAGTCTGGGTGACTACCGTGGTGAGAACTGGTGCTAGGGTGGAGTCTGGTTGACTACCGTGGTGAGGACTGGTGCTAGGGTGGAGTCTGGGTGACTACCGTGGTGAGGACTGGTGCTAGGGTGGAGTCTGGTTGACTACCGTGGTGAGGACTGGTGCTAGGGTGGAGTCTGGTTGACTACTGTGGTGAGGACTGGTGCTAGGGTGGAGTCTGGTTGACTACCGTGGTGAGGAGTGGTGCTCGGGTGGGAGTCTGGTTGACTACTGTGGTGAGGACTGGTGCTAGGGTGGAGTCTGGTTGACTACCGTGGTGAAGAGTGGTGCTCGGGTGGGAGTCTGGTTGACTACCGTGGTGAGGACTGGTGCTAGGGTGGAGTCTGGTTGACTACCGTGGTGAGGACTGGTGCTAGGGTGGAGTCTGGTTGACTACCGTGGTGAGGACTGGTGCTCGGGTGGGAGTCTGGTTGACTACCATGGTGAGGACTGGTGCTAGGGTGGAGTCTGGGTGACTACCGTGGTGAGGACTGGTGCTCGGGTGGGAGTCTGGTTGACTACTGTGGTGAGGACTGGTGCTCGGGTGGAGTCTGGTTGACTACTGTGGTGAGGACTGGTGCTCGGGTGGGAGTCTGGTTGACTACTATGGTGAGGACTGGTGCTAGGGTGGAGTCTGGTTGACTACTGTGGTGAGGACTGGTGCTAGGGTTGAGTCTGGGTGACTACCGTGGTGAGGACTGGTGCTCGGGTGGAGTCTGGTTGACTACCGTGGTGAGGACTGGTGCTAGGGTGGAGTCTGGTTGACTACTGTGGTGAGGAGTGGTGCTCGGGTGGGAGTCTGGTTGACTACTGTGGTGAGGACTGGTGCTCGGGTGGAGTCTGGTTGACTACCGTGGTGAGGACTGGTGCTAGGGCTTGAGTTAACGTCAGCATCAGGTTGGGCAATGCAGTAGTTATGCTAAAGGTTAGGACTGGTTTGGTCACCGCGGTTAGGATTGGCGCCTGGGTCGGGTTGGCTTGCGTGATTCGGGGGTGAAAGTTCGGGGGTTTCGCGATCTCTGACACTCAGCACCGCGTGCCCATCGCATTGTGGGATTGTCTTCTCGCCCTCTCGGTATTCACAGCGAGGGCGTCTTAAACTCCCCCAACCCATCCGTGTGAGAAAAAAAAACCCATTTAAAAAAACCCAGCACGAAAATACTTCACCCACCACCGTCGTCAAACACACAGCCCGACACCCGAGAGGAATCGACGCACACAGACACGCACGCAAAGACAAAGATCTCCCGTATAGCCTGAACAGAATGTTGGGGCAAGTGCTGTTCGCGAGCACCTCTGAAGGCCGGCACTGTGGCACACACGAGGGGGGGTTGTGGGTGGCCAGCACCACGCCCGGCCGCCTTTCCCTCCCCGGTGGCGATGTTTACACACTGCACCAGATACTCATTTGAGGCTGAGTCGACCTAAGGGAGGCTCAGGAACTGTTTCGGACGATCGTCGTCGGTGTTGGTGACCGTGGGCGGAAAATCAAACTCGGGTCGCCGGGTTCGTAGCGCGGAGCGCGCTGAAACCGCGCCGCAAGCAGGCGGGCACATGTTGCACCCGCCAGGCGCCGCGATGGCCAGGCGCGCCAGTGCCGATTGTAAAAAGCCCTTATGAAACGCGCGCGTTTCGTCATCGCACGCGTGTCATCATCGTCGTTGTCATCGTCGTCGTCATCCTCGGCGTCCCACCGTATCTCGGCAGCCCACGCGCCAGGCCGGCTGCGGGAAAGTTCGCTACAAAACCAAAGAGACGTTTGTGATCCTCGTGATCCTCGTCTCTCGCCTCTCGCTTCGTTGGGGAACGCTCCGCTTAACCAGTTCTGTGAAACCGGCCACCTGGAGTCCCCTTGCGAGCGGACCAGGGTAGGGATTTCACACCCCCACCCCTCCGCCCCCTTGCCCTGGGGGGGGGGAGGGGGGTTCCCCAACAGCTGCTTTAAAATAATCAAACACCCTGGCACAGCGGGCGATGCCACACTCCGCCCTGCCAGCGGTCGATTTAACGCACGGGCTCCTCGCTGGAGCACTGCGGTGCGAAACCCATAGGCGCCCCCCCCTCCCCCCCTCGAGTGAAGAGAGAGAGGGGACCCCAGTTGCGAACCCTTGGTTTAAAGGGCTTCCGTACGATTTAACTTGACGCATGCCGGCTGACTGGCTGTGGATGAATTTCGGTCCATACTCCGCGCCGGGTTTTCCTGGGCGGCGGTGGCGGCCGTCGCGGGTGGGGGGTGGGGGTGGGGAGGAGGAGGTCGCTCCCCCTAAGAGCTTCTCTACCACGCGGGAGTGAAAATCCGGTCCAGGGATCCGGGGCGGCTCCCGTTCCTTAACAGCGAGCCTCCCGCTATGCGAGCACACTCGCGCACGGTAAGTGCCGTTCACTTTGAGAGCGGCGGGGGGGGGGGATCGCACCACGCTCGGAGTCCCACGTGAGTCACGCGGGGGTTGGTGGTGGGGGGGAGGGGCGCACTAGCCTCTCGTCGGTAAACCTTCACGTGAGATGTTTCTCATAAGAGGCCGGCCCAAATTGGCGACTTAGTGGTGTTGTGATTGGGTCGATGAAGAGGTAAAGTGGTGGAATTGGTTGAAGCCGTGGTTCGGTCCGACGTTGAGCTGGCGCGTTGGTGGGGCTCGCTGGGCGGCGGACCGCATGGACCTGGTCGGTGGTGACCTTAGCGGTCGGTTGACTAAACGGTGAATTTGCTTGCCGGGTTTTTTTTTCTTCCGGCTCGGCGTTTGGTTGGCCGAGTTTTAGGGTAGTTCAATGGCGAGGTGGAGCTATGATGGGCTTGCTGTGGTGATGGTGGGGCGACTCGGTTCTGGGCTGGCTCGGCGATGGGCTTGCCAAGTGGCGGTGATGGTGGTGGTGGGCGACTCCATTCTGGGCTGGCTCGGTTGCGGGTTTGCGCGTCGCCAGCGGGTGGGCGGGCGGGCTGGAAGGGTGATGTTGGGGCAGGTGGTGTCTCTCGTCCGCCCGGCCGCGAGCCTCCCGGGCGGCACGTGTTGTTGGCCGGAGGAATGCGCGAGGAATGCGGGGCTTCGGGAACTCCTCCCGCGCCACCGCTGCCAGTTTGTGGAGGAGGAGGCGGAGGCGTTCGTTGGTTGATGGGGGAAGATGAGAAAAATAACGGGCGGGACGTGGCGGGTCGCACCCCCCCGCACCCCACCCACTCTCCACTCGCTTGCGGCGAAGACCAGAAGAACAGACCTGGCTCAGGCGACTTAAAGGGGGCTTTTGTGAGGAATTGTCGCGTGTGTGTGTGTGTCTGTCTGTGTGTATGTGTGTGTGTCTGTGTGTGTGTGTGTGGGTCATGTGTGTGTGTGTCTGTGTATGGTCGTGTGTGTGTGTGTCTGTACGTTGGGGGAGCGGTGACCCAGGTTCGAATCCCACTTGAGACCAATAACGGAGGCGAATATATGAACCCAGTCCTGGGCCTCCCCTAGGTTGACTTGGCCTTAAATGAGTACCATCCACAGACTGTTGAAGGCTATATGGGGAATCTTTGTATTTGCATGTGCTGTGAGTGCATCTGCTGTGTGTGTGTGCTCCGTTTGCTATGTTTATGCTGCGTGTCATGTTGCTGTGTGCTGTGTCTGTATTGTGTGTGCCTTTGTCCTATGCCTTGTATGTGCTGTGTTAGCCTGTCATGCATGTGCTATGTGTACCGTGTGCGTCATATGTTGCATGTGTACTATACGTGTACCATGCGTGCCATTTGCGTTTGCTGTGCTTTTGCCCGCCAGTGCGTGTGCTGTGCACGTCTCATCCATGTGCTGTGCATGTGGTGAGTCTGCTGTGCGTGCGATCTGTCTGTGCTGTGCGTGTGGTGTGTCTGTGCGTGTGGTGCGTCTGTGCTGTGCACGCGACGTGTCTGTGCTGTGCCTGTGTACGCTGTGTCTGTGCTGTGCATGTGTACGCTGTGTCTGTGCTGTGCACGCGACGTGTCTGTGCTGTGCCTGTGTACGCTGTGTCTGTGCTGTGCATGCAACGTGTCTGTGCTGTGCTTGTGTACGCTGTGTCTGTGCTGTGCCTGTGTCTGCGCTGTGCCTGAGTGCGCTGTGTCTGCGGTGTGCGTGTGCTACACAGATGCCGACCTGCGTGACGAGGTAGGACGGTTTGCGGCAGGAGGAGGCAGAGGAAGGGACCCACGGCAGGGCCCTTGGCTACGCTCGGCGGCCACTCCGTTCTACGCAGCGCCTAGGGTGGTGAGGAGGGCGGTGACGAGGGTGGTGAGGAGGGCGGTGAGGAGGGTGGTGAGGAGGGTGGTGGGGGTGGTGAGGGGAGAGCAGCAGGGGAGATGGGTACCGTGCCGGCACTGGTGCTGGTGCTGGGAGTTCTGCGCGTGGCCGCCGAGGGGCCGCTGGTGCCCCGAGTCAGCTTCTCCTATGAAGGTGAGTGCTGGCTGCTGTGGTGGTGGTGGTGGTCGGTGCGATGGGTTTTGTGCGATAACGGTGTGGTGTGATGGGGTGGGTGTTGCGACGGTGGCGGGTGTGATGGTGGCGATGTGACGGGTGTGTGATGGTTGGAGAGTGTGTTAGCGGCCGTGATGGCGATGGGTGGTGATGGCGCTGTGTGCGATGATGGAAGGGCGTGAAAGCGGTTGGTGATATGATGTTGATGGGTGCGGCGGTGGCGGCGGCGGCGGCGGGCGTGATGGAGGACGATTTGATAGCAGCCGCAGCGTTGGAGGATGTGGTGATGGTCTAGGCTGCGATGGCGGTGGGCGTGATGGTGGTGGTTTTAACTCGCACCAGCTCGCCCTCCTCGCCACGCTGTTCCGTGTCCTGCGGTGCATTATACAGGCGGTTGGATTGCTGGGTAGAAGTGGCGGTGGAAGGGGAGAGCTTCTTATGGAGCTGAATGAGATTGCCTGTTGCTTTTTTGCCCGCTGTGCAGGTCAGATCGTTTTGTGAAGTTTAAATGTCTAAGCGAATGTTTTTGGCGTTTTTCGCTCATCCTCGTACCAGCCTAAGGTTTACTCAAGTCCTCAGCGGAATAACAAAAACCCGTTTCAACAAAATCAAATTCTTTCCCTTGCGCTGCCTCCGCTCTGGAATTCCTCCCTCCTGTCATCTCCCGCCTCTTCCCAAGCTCGCACGAGAATAAATAAATAAGTCGAAAATAAACCCCCGCTTTAACCCAAGCGGCGTGCTGCAACTCCTCTCCCCGTCACGTTTTCGCTGACCGCTTGCCGCCGGCCGCTCTGACCTTTTTGGACCTTTGGGCCATCGCGCGATGCCACCGGCCTCTCCGCAGGCGCGGCATTCCTGTTGTCGCTCGCTCTCTCGCTGCGTGTTCAACCCCGCTCCCTCCCCCGGTGGTGCTGGGGGGGAGGAGATACCGCGGTGGTCACGATCCACGTGCTTGGGTCTGGCCCCCTCCGACGGAGTGATGACAGTAACAATTGTGATGATAGTAACAATTGTGATGATAGTAACAATAGTAACAATTGTGATGATAGTAACAATTGTGATGATAGTAACAATTGTGATGATAGTAACAATAGTAACAATTGTGATGATAGTAACAATTGTGATGATAGTAACAATAGTAACAATTGTGATGATAGTAACAATTGTGATGATAGTAACAATTGTGATGATAGTAACAATTGTGATGATAGTAACAATTGTGATGATTGTAACAATTGTGATGATAGTAAGAATAGTAACAATTGTGATGATAGTAACAATTGTGATGATAGTAACAATTGTGATGATAGTAACAATTGTGATGATAGTAACAATTGTGATGATTGTAACAATTGTGATGATAGTAACAATAGTAACAATTGTGATGATAGTAACAATTGTGATGATAGTAACAATTGTGATGATAGTAACAATTGTGATGATAGTAACAATTGTGATGATAGTAACAATTGTGATGATAGTAACAATTGTGATGATAGTAACAATAGTAACAATTGTGATGATAGTAACAATTGTGATGATAGTAACAATTGTGATGATAGTAACAATTGTGATGATAGTAATAATTGTGATGATTGTAACAATTGTGATGATAGTAACAATAGTAACAATTGTGATGATAGTAACAATTGTGATGATAGTAACAATTGTGATGATAGTAACAATTGTGATGATAGTAACAATTGTGATGATAGTAACAATTGTGATGATAGTAACAATAGTAACAATTGTGATGATAGTAACAATTGTGATGATAGTAACAATTGTGATGATAGTAACAATTGTGATGATAGTAACAATTGTGATGATAGTAACAATTGTGATGATAGTAACAATAGTAACAATTGTGATGATAGTAACAATTGTGATGATAGTAACAATTGTGATGAGTGTAACAATTGTGATGATAGTAACAATAGTAACAATTGTGATGATATTAACAATTGTGATGATAGTAACAATTGTGATGATAGTAACAATTGTGATGATAGTAACAATTGTGATGATTGTAACAATTGTGATGATAGTAACAATTGTGATGATAGTAACAATTGTGATGATAGTAACAATAGTAACAATTGTGATGATAGTAACAATTGTGATGATAGTAACAATTGTGATGATTGTAACAATTGTGATGATAGTAACAATAGTAACGATTGTGATGATAGTAACAATTGTGATGATAGTAACAATTGTGATGATAGTAACAATTGTGATGATTGTAACAATTGTGATGATAGTAACAATAGTAACAATTGTGATGATAGTAACAATTGTGATGATAGTAACAATTGTGATGATAGTAACAATTGTGATGATAGTAACAATTGTGATGATAGTAACAATTGTGATGATAGTAACAATTGTGATGATAGTAACAATTGTAATGATAGTAACAATTGTGATGATAGTAACAATTGTGATGATAGTAATAATTGTGACGATTGTAACAATTGTGATGATAGTAACAATAGTAACAATTGTGATGATAGTAACAATTGTGATGATAGTAACAATTGTGATGATAGTAACAATTGTGATGATAGTAACAATAGTAACAATTGTGATGATAGTAACAATTGTGATGATAGTAACAATTGTGATGATAGTAACAATTGTGATGATAGTAACAATTGTGATGATAGTAACAATTGTGATGATAGTAACAATAGTAACAATTGTGATGATAGTAACAATTGTGATGATAGTAACAATTGTGATGATTGTAACAATTGTGATGATAGTAACAATAGTAACAATTGTGATGATATTAACAATTGTGATGATAGTAACAATTAATTATGATGATAGTAACAATTGTGATGATAGTAACAATTGTGATGATTGTAACAATTGTGATGATAGTAACAATTGTGATGATAGTAACAATTGTGATGATAGTAACAATAGTAACAATTGTGATGATAGTAACAATAGTAACAATTGTGATGATAGTAACAATTGTGATGATTGTAACAATTGTGATGATAGTAACAATAGTAACGATTGTGATGATAGTAACAATTGTGATGATAGTAACAATTGTGATGATAGTAACAATTGTGATGATAGTAACAATTGTGATGATAGTAACAATTGTGATGATTGTAACAATTGTGATGATAGTAACAATAGTAACAATTGTGATGATAGTAACAATTGTGATGATAGTAACAATTGTGATGATAGTAACAATTGTGATGATAGTAACAATAGTAACAATTGTGATGATAGTAACAATTGTGATGATAGTAACAATTGTGATGATAGTAACAATTGTGATGATAGTAACAATTGTGATGATAGTAATAATTGTGACGATTGTAACAATTGTGATGATAGTAACAATAGTAACAATTGTGATGATAGTAACACTTGTGATGATAGTAACAATTGTGATGATAGTAACAATTGTGATGATAGTAACAATTGTGATGATAGTAACAATAGTAACAATTGTGATGATAGTAACAATTGTGATGATAGTAACAATTGTGATGATAGTAACAATTGTGATGATAGTAACAATTGTGATGATAGCAACAATTGTGATGATAGTAACAATTGTGATGATAGTAACAATTGTGATGATAGTAACAATAGTAACAATTGTGATGATAGTAACACTTGTGATGATAGTAACAATTGTGATGATAGTAACAATTGTGATGATAGTAACAATTGTGATGATAGTAACAATTGTGATGATAGTAACAATAGTAACAATTGTGATGATAGTAACAATTGTGATGATAGTAACAATTGTGATGATAGTAACAATTGTGATGATAGCAACAATTGTGATGATAGTAACAATTGTGATGATAGTAACAATTGTGATGATAGTAACAATAGTAACAATTGTGATGATATTAACAATTGTGGTGATAGTAACAATTGTGATGATAGTAACAATTGTGATGATAGTAACAATTGTGATGATTGTAACAATTGTGATGATAGTAACAATTGTGATGATAGTAACAATTGTGATGATAGTAACAATAGTAACAATTGTGATGATAGTAACAATTGTGATGATTGTAACAATTGTGATGATAGTAACAATAGTAACGATTGTGATGATAGTAACAATTGTGATGATAGTAACAATTGTGATGAGAGTAACAATTGTGATGATAGTAACAATTGTGATGATAGTAACAATTGTGATGATAGTAACAATTGTGATGATAGTAACAATTGTGATGATAGTAACAATTGTGATGTTAGTAACAATAGTAACAATTGTGATGATAGTAACAATTGTGATGATAGTAACAATTGTGATGATAGTAACAATTGTGATGATAGTAACAATTGTGATGATAGTAACAATTGTGATGATAGTAACAATAGTAACAATTGTGATGATAGTAACAATAGTAACAATTGTGATGATAGTAACAATTGTGATGATAGTAACAATTGTGATGATAGTAACAATAGTAACAATTGTGATGATAGTAACAATTGTGATGATAGTAACAATTGTGATGATAGTAACAATTGTGATGATTGTGATGATAGTAACAATTGTGATGATAGTAACAATTGTGATGATAGTAACAATAGTGACAATTGTGATGATAGTAACAATTGTGATGATAGTAACAATTGTGATGATAGTAACAATAGTAACATTTGTGATGATAGTAACAATTGTGATGATAGTAACAATTGTGATGATAGTAACAATTGTGATGATAGTAACAATAGTAACAATTGTGATGATAGTAACAATTGTGATGATAGTAACAATTGTGATGATAGTAACAATAGTAACACTTGTGATGATAGTAACAATTGTGATGATAGTAACAATTGTGATGATAGTAACAATAGTAACAATTGTGATGATAGTAACAATTGTGATGATAGTAACAATAGTAACAATTGTGATGATAGTAACAATTGTGATGATAGTAACAATTGTGATGATAGTAACAATAGTAACAATTGTGATGATAGTAACAATTGTGATGATAGTAACAATTGTGATGATAGTAACAATAGTAACAATTGTGATGATAGTAACAATTGTGATGATAGTAACAATAGTAACAATTGTGATGATAGTAACAATTGTGATGATAGTAACAATTGTGATGATAGTAACAATTGTGATGATAGTAACAATTGTGATGATAGTAACAATAGTAACAATTGTGATGATAGTAACAATTGTGATGATAGTAACAATTGTGATGATAGTAACAATAGTAACAATTGTGATGATAGTGTGGGAGGTGTTGTGAACACGGCGCCGTGAGGCCGGCGGAACCAACGGTGGAAATTTCGCCTCCGATGATTATCTCTCAGCAGCAGCGGCGGTGGCCCATCAGAGGACCTATGAAGGCCGTGGGCACGGTGGTACCCGAGGGCGTGGGTGGCCAGCACCACGCCCGGCCGCCTTTGTCTCCCCCAGTGTACCCATTTGAGGCCGAGTCGACCTAGGGAGAGGCCCAAGAACCGCTTTCGATAATTGCGCCACTGGTGTTGGGCGTGAGCGGGACTCGAACTTGGCTCGCCGGTTTAGCGGCGGAGCGAGCTCACCGCAACGACGACAACCGCTCCCCGCGTCGCCCCCCGCAATCAAATGACGCCCGCCTGTGAATATTGAGCGCTCGACGATTGCGGCGTCGATAACCCCGCGGCGGGGGGGGTGGGGGTGTGGGGTGGGGGGGGGGGTTCGGAACACACGCCCCCTCCCCCCCGCCCGAGTTCACGCGGCCCACGAGCGGCGTGCCGCGCCGTCCGCGAATTGGCGACCCGTTTGTTGCGGCCCGGCGGCCGCGTGAGGCCGACTGCGACGCGGCGGCGCGCAGGCAAATGTTTTTTTTTATTCCCCCGGCGATCCGCCGCTGCCGCCGGCACTAATCGGGTACTAGAGGGGGCGGGGGGCGGGGGGCATACGTTCGACCTGGGGAAACGGCGCCGCATGCAAATGATTTCGCACCATCAGTTACTCCTGTCACTGCAAGGGCCTCACCCCACCCCGCTCCCCCCCCCCCCACCCCTTCAGAGTTGGTGCAGGAGGAGGCGATGAGTTTCCGCGCCGTGCCCGACGCGTCGGCGCTGCTGCTGGTGCCGCAGCGCTCGGCGCTCTACGTGGGCGCGCGCGACGCCATCCTCGCCCTGGACGCCCGCAACGTCTCCCGCGAGCTCCACCCCGCCGTGAGGGAGGGGGGGCACCCCGCCAGCGGCCGGGGGGACCCCCTAGCCGCCGGGGCACCCCGGGGCGTGGGGGCACCCCGGGGGACGTGGATCTGGGGGGGACCCCACTGCCCGGGGGACCAAAGGGCACCCGGGGGACAGGGACCCAGAGAGATCTGGGGAATGTGTGGATGGGGATCCGGGGGGGGACAGGGGACCCGCCGTAGCCAGGGGGACCTCCGTAGAGAACGGGGACCTCCGGAGAGACGGAACCCCGGCGCTCGTGACCCAGGGACTCGGTGACTTACAGGTCCTGAGACTCGCGGCCTCGGGCAGGCCCGTGAATCCTGACCCCGTGACCTCTTGACGCTGCGACCTCGGGTTCACGCGGGTGACCTCCCTCCGTTTAATCTTCGTCTCTTTGAGGCGTCTGTTGAAGGCTCGGGCGGCATGAACGGCCGTGGGCTTCCCTCGATATCGTGACGCCTCGTGTTGAGTCGTGTTGAGTCGTGTTGTTGTTGTTGTTCCCAGAGTTCTGTGTCTGTTCGGCCGCCCCGTCTGCGTGTCCGTCGCTCGAGCGATCGTATCTGGCCGTGACCCTCTTGCCTCTGTGTCTGTTTGTCTCCCTCTCTCTCATCAGCTCTCCTGGACGGCTGACAGCCAAATGAAGACGTGTCAGTCGAAGAGGAACAGCCAGGTACCGTAAACTAATGCAAGCTTTTCTTAAATGTAGCTATGTGTTTTTTCAGATGCAGCCCGGCAATCACAAATGATAGCTCAACGAAGTGGCTCATCACGTGGAAATAATTGATAGCAGCCAAATACTCTTGAACACGTTTCTAAATGGGGAGGGAAAAACCGGAGGACCCGGAGAAAAATCCACGCGACCACGAGGAGGGACACCGTAAACTCCGAATACAGGACGGGCGTCAGGGTCGGGATCGAACCTACGGCCTCCTGCTCACCAGGCGAGGTAGTTAACATCTCCCAGCCACCGTGGCGCCCCAATGGGGGGGAGGGGGCGGTGGCATTGCGACCGTGTGGATTCCATAATCGCTGCGGCGACCCCGGTGTGTCCGTTAGGGTCATGTGGGTGCGTGCGGTCCAATCATCGTCAGTGTGAGAATGGGGGCTGCGTTGTGAGCATGAGGGGTGGCCTGGTGTCAGTGTGAGGGGGGGCCCCCCGGTGTGAGCGTGTGGGGGGGCCCCCCGGTGCGACCGTGAGCCCGGTGCGAGCGTGAGGGACGCCCTGTGCCGCAGTGGGAGTGCTTCAACTTCGTGCGGGTGCTGCACCGACTCGACGGCACGCGGCTGTACGCGTGCGGCACCGGCGCCTTCCAGCCCAAGTGCGCCTACATCGTGAGTGGTGCCGCCCCCCTCCCCCCCCGCCCTCCGCCGCCGCCACGCGCCAGGGGGGGTGGGGACGCGTGCGTGGGTGTTCTTGAGCGTGCGAGTTTTGGTGCGGCGGCCCTCTCACCGGTGACGGTCGTCCAAAGCGGTCTCGGGCCTCCCCTCGGGTGACTCGGCCTCAAACGAGCACCCGGCGTAGCGGTGTGTAGAAAAAACATCGTCACTGGGGAGACAAAGGCGGCCGGGCGTGGTGCTGGCCACCCACCCCCTCGCGTGCCGCGCCGGCCTTCCAAGGTGCTCATGAACAGCACTTGCCTCTACAGTCTGTTAAGGCTACACGGGGGGTGGGGGATCTTTGTATTCATTGGTGGAGCAGTCGTGCAGTGGTTAGCGCATCACATTATGAAACACACTTTGGGGTGATGTAGTGGTTCTGCATTGGCTTGTGTGGGTGAATATTACCGTGTCTGTTGAACTTCTTTTGCACCGTACGTAGCCAACCGTGCTAATCGGAGGTGTGGGGGAAGGACAACAAGCTAAACACAAAAAACTGTTCTAAAAAAAAAGTTTTCAATCTAGATGATTTAAAAGTGCACGTTAGTGCTTTGTTGTGTGTCGATGGGAGCCGGTGTACGTTCTGGTACGAGTTCAGGCGTGCTGGTGTGACCTGTGACCCCGTGCGACCCCGTGCGACCCCCCGTGCGACCCCGCGTGTAGAACGTGGCCGACTTCTCGTTTGTGAAAAAGCCTGGAGGGACCGTGATGGAGGAGGACGGCAAGGGCAAGTGCCCCTTTGACCCCGAGCAGAGGCACACCTCGCTGATGACCGGTGCGTGTCCATCGCAGCTCCCACACTGCCCTCCACTCACCCACGCCACACCACACACCTCACTTCACCACACGCACGCTCTGCATTTACCCGCACACCACACTAAAGATCCCACACACACACCGCTCTATGCACCCACGCACACACCGCTGTACACATCGCGCATCCTACACCCACCCACCACAACCGCGCATCCTACGCACTCTCTGCACACCTCGCCACGTGCCTCACCCCGCGCCTCACCCCGCGCCTCACCCCGCGCCTCACCCCGCACCTCACCCCGCGCCTCACCCCGCGCCTCACCCCGCGCCTCACCCCGCGCCTCACCCCGCGCCTCACCCCGCGCCTCACCCCGCGCGAGTCATCGAGGGCCGTCCCGTCGACCTCCCGGCTGAGTTGGCTGCAGGGAGACGGCGCGGCAGTGCGGGGGACCGCAGCGGAGAGGGATCGCAGCGATTTCGCCGTTAGAGAGCTCTGTGCGTCGCCGCATTCGGGGGCCGCGTCGCCGTTCTCGGCTGTGCCATGCCGGTGCCGCGCGGCGCCGGCAAAATTCGTTCGTTTTTATCCTCGGGGCGCACGCCTGCCGAAACCCTCCGTGGGAAAACTCAACATTCCCCACGTGAAAAAAAGTCTCCCCCATCGCCCCCCGTCTCTCATCTTTAATCGAGCGTCGACGCCGGTGGTAGCGTAACGCTCGACGGAGAGCGACGGCCGTGACGGTGACGGCGGCATCGCGTCCCCTCCCTCTGCAGGAGGAGAGCTCTACTCGGGCACGGGCAGCAACTACCTGGGCAGCGAGTCGGTGGTGCAGCGGAGCCCTAGCAGCATGTCCAGCGAGCTGTCGAGCAGCTGGCTCTACAGTGAGTTCGCCCCCCCCCCCCCCACCCCCCTTTCTCTCTCCCCTCACCCCCACCACCCCATGCCCCCCCCCCCCCCCACCTCGCCCCGCTCACCACCGCCGGAATCCCGGGGTTCAGATCCAGGTTTCGGCCGCCCCAAACTGTGATTCACCTTTCCTGGAAATCAACCTCCTCCCCCCCCCCCCCCCGCCCGCCAATTTGTGTAGAAATTCAAATCCGCAGACTTTTGCGCGTGGGCTGCGCCGTGACTCTGCACGCCGTCGACGCCGCCCGCGACGCCGGCCGCAGGGAACGGCGAACACGCGGCGGTTGCTGCCTCGACGGATGTCGATTATTCCTCCGCGTGATAAATGATTATTATTGATTATATTAATCGGCCGGGGGGACAGGGGGCCGGGATTGACAAACATCGCCTAACTCATTATGAGACCTCCTTTGCCAGTAACAAGATATAGTAATAGGTTTTGCCCTTTTAACTGGCACAAAAACTGGCACCTTTATTCAAGGCATCATGTTTGCAATAGCCACAACACAAGCAGTCAAAATGCAAACAAAAGAGACAACTCTGATAATAATATTGGCACTGTCCTTGAATTTGATTGGTCCACACCCAAGACGGCTTTTCTTAGAGCCTAGTTAAAAGGGTAAAACCTATTCCTATATCTTGTTACTGGCAAAGGAGGTCTCATAATGTAAATGCTCACCCCGAGCCCTCAATACTCTGATAGTGCGCTGTTTTTGAGTTGTACGCCTTTTGGCGTCTTCTGGTCCAACACCAGTGGAGACTAGGCTCTAAGAAAAGCCGTCTTGGGTGTGGACCAATCAAATTCAAGGACAGTGCATATTATTATCAGAGTTGTCTCTTTTGTTTGCATTTTGACTGCTTGTGTTGTGGTTATTGCAAACATGATGCCTTGAATAAAGGTGCCAGTTTTTGTGCCAGTTAAAAGGGTAAAACCTATTACTATCGCCTAACTCTTTATTACAATTTTATGCCTGGCATTTTTGCCCTTTAGCCGGCCTATGCTCAGCCGCTGTGATAACTAAAACACAGTAGACTCCGCGCTAATGACGGGCAGGACGGCCGCTGATAATTAAAAATAGTGGATAATCCAAAATTTAGAACCATTTTCCACGGATCTCTATGCTAAAAAAGCACTAATACAGTAAAACCTTGGATTGCGAGTAAATTGGCCTGCGAGTGTTTTGCAAGACGAGCAGAAATTTTAACTAAATATTAATTTGATAAACGAGCGAGGGTATTGCAACACGAGTAGTGTACGTGTAGACGCTTTGTCTGCTGAGCGTCACGTGATCACAACTGATATACGAGTGCTTTGATATACGAGTGCTTTGGATTACAAACACGTTTCCGGAACGAATTATGCTCGTAATCCAAGGTTTTACTGTTTTGGGGTATAAATTATGTATAAGTTAAGAAAATTGAGGGCGATCACATGGAGAACATATTTTTTTGGTTTAGATCACCTAAGAACAAGAGTATCAATGTACACTTGTTTTTAGGTGCGCGCGGTTAATCCGCAAATCGGATAAACCGCCCGCGGATGATCGAGAGTCGACTGCACGTGCATGCACGACGACGTTGTTGTTGTTGGTGTTGTTGTTGTCGGTGCTGTTGTCGGTGTTGTTGGTGTTGTTATTGACGTTGTTGGTGTTGTTGACGTTGTTGACGTTGTCGACGTTGTTGACGTTGTTGGTGTTGTTGTTGTATGTTGTCGGTGTTGTTGGTGTTGTTATTGACGTTGTTGGTGTTGTTGACGTTGTTGGCGTTGTTGATGTTGTCGACATTGTTGTTGACGTTGTTGGTGTTGTTGTTGGCGTTGTCGGTGTTGTTGTTGATGTTGTTATTGACGTTGTTGGCATTGTTGACGTTGTCGACGTTGTAGACGTTGTTGGTGTTTTTGTTGTATGTTGTCGGTGTTGTTGTCAGTGTTGATGTTGTTATGGACGTTGTTGGCGTTGTTGATGTTGTCGACGTTGTTGTTGACGTTGTTGGTGTTGTTGTTGGCGTTGTTGTTGTTGTTGTTGGCGTTGTTGTTGGTGTTGTTGTTGGCGTTGTTGGTGTTGTTGTTGTTGGCGTTGTTGTTGGCGCTGTTGGTGTTGTTGTTGGCGTTGTTGGTGTTGTTGTTGTTGGTGTTGTTGTTGACGTTGTTGTTGACGTTGTTGACGTTGTTGTTGGTGTCGTGGCCGCACAGACCCGACGTTCGTGGCGTCGGAGTTTGTGAACGAGAGCGAGTCGCGGGAGCAGGACAACAAGGTCTACTTCTTCTTCTCGGAGACGGCCGTGGAGTTCGACTTCTACTCCAGGGTGGTGGTGCCGAGGGTCGCGCGCGTCTGCACGGTGAGGAGGCGGCGGGGCGGGGCGGGGCGGGGGTACGAAGAGAGGGAGAGACGCAGGCACGCCGACCCCCGCGGCACGACGGGGGGCAGGAGGGTGGCAGCGCCGGCGGTTACCGCCGGCGCCTCGCGGCCGGAGGGAGGGGGGGGGGGGGGGGGGGCCTGGGGTCAATTCCAGAACTCGGGCGACTCTCCGCGTGGAGTTTTGCGTGTTCCCGTGGCAACGTAGGTGACGCACGCATGAAGCCGTCCCGGGCCTCCCCGGTGCGGTCGTGTGTAAAGTGTCGGCGTCACGCGCGGTTACCGGTCGTCCACCCCGCCTCGTGCGCCGTGGCCGTGCACCACGGGGGGGGGGGGGGGGGGGGGGGGCGCTGTGAAGGACGAGCTGGGGAACGTCGTCGTCGTCGTCCCGCGTTCCCCAGGGTGACACGGGCGGCCTGAAGAAGCTGGAGAAGAAGTGGACGACGTTCCTCAAGGCGCGGCTCGACTGCTCGCTGAGAGAGATGGCGTTCACCGGACTCCGGCACGTCGTGTCGACCCGCGGCCTCCGTGGCCGGCCCGACACCGTGTTCTACGCCCTCTACACGGACCGCAGGTGCGCGACTTCGTCCTCCGCCCTCCGCCCTGCGGGTACCGACGCCTGGTTGCCGTGGCTACCGACGCGTGGTTGCCGTGGGATCTGACGCGTGGTTGCCGTGGCTACCGACGCGTGGTTGCCATGGACTCTGACGCGTGGTTGCCGTGGCTACCGACGCGTGGTTGCCGTGGGCTCTGACGCGCGGTCGCCGTGGGTACCGACGCGTGGTTGCCGTGGGTACCGACGCGTGGTTGCCGTGGGCTCTGACGCGTGGTTGCCGTGGCTACCGACGCGTGGTTGCCATGGACTCTGACGCGTGGTTGCCGTGCCTACCGACGCGTGGTTGCCGTGGGCTCTGACGCGTGGTCGCCGTGGGTACCGACGCGTGGTTGCCGTGGGCTCTGACGCGCGGTCGCCGTGGGTACCGACGCGTGGTTGCCGTGGGTACCGACGCGTGGTTGCCGTGGGCTCTGACGCGCGGTCGCTGTGGGCGTCCTTGCAGGGGCGGCGGCGCCGTCTCGGCCGTCTGCTCGTACCGCATGGACGAGGTGCAGCGCGTCTTCTCCGGAAGCTTCAAGCACCAGGGAGGGGCCGACCAGCGGTGGGCCCCCTACGCGGGGGCCCTGCCCGCACAACGGCCCGGAGACGTGAGTACCGGCAGTGCGCGCCACGGTACACTCCACGGCACACGCCACGGTACACTCCACGGTACACGTCACGGCACACGTCACTGTACACGTCACTGTACACGTCACGGCACACGTCACTGTACACGTCACTGTACACGTCACGGTACACGTGACTGTACACGTCACGGTACACACCACTGTACACGTCACGGTACACGTCACTGTACACGTCACTGTACACGTCACTGTACACGTTACGGTACACGTCACACGTCACAGTACACGTCACAGTACATGTCATGGTACACGTCACGGTACACGTCACTGTACACGTCACACTACACGTCACACGTCACAGTACACGTTACGGGATACGCCACGGTACACGTGACTGTACACGTGACTGTACACGTCACGGTACACGTCACTGTACACGTCACTGTACACGCCACGGTACACGTCACTGTACACGCACCGCTCGCTGTGCGCGCGGTGCGGACTCCAGTACTGGCTAGGACACGTGGCCCTCCGCTCCCCCCCCCCCCCACCCCCTCGCAGTGCCCCCTGGGCTGGGACTCGCAGATGCTGCCCTCCGAGACGCTCAACTTCGTCTCCGACCACCCCCTGATGGATGAGGCGGTGAAGGCCGAGGGGGGCCGGCCCTGGCTGCTGGTGCCGGGAGTGGCCTACAACCGGCTGCTGGTGGTCGACGTCGCGGCGCTGGACGGCAAGAGCTGGAGGACGCTGTTGCTGGGCACAGGTGGGGGGGCCCCAACGCACGGAGACCCCCAACGCACAGAGACCTCCAACACACGGAGACCTCCAACACACGGAGACCCCCACACACGGAGACCTCCAACACACAGAAACCCCCAACACACGGAGACCCTCACACACGGAGACCCCCACACACGGAGACCCCCAACACACGGAGACCCCCAACGCACGGAGACCCCAACACACGGAGACCCCAACACACGGAGACCCCCAACACACGGAGACCCCCAACACACGGAGACCCCCAACACAGCCCTGAATTCCCAGTGTTGGGCCCCGGCCCCTGAATGGGCGCGTGTGTCTGTGCCGCGTCTCGGCCGCCCCCCCAGACGCGGGTGCGCTGCACCGCGCCGTGCTGCCGGAGTCGCGCGGAGATCCTCACCTGGTGGAGGAGCTGCAGGCGCTGGGGCAGCAGGAGCCGGTGGTGTCCATGGTGCTGACCCACGACCAGGTGACCCCTCCTAGTGCGGTGCACTCACAACTCACAACTAGTGCGGTGCACTCACAACTCACAACTAGTGCGGTGCACTCACAACTAGTGTGGTACACTCACAACTCACAACTAGTGCGGTACACTCACAACTCACAACTAGTGCGGTGCACTCACAACTCACAACTAGTGTGGTGAACTCACAACTAGTCCGGTGCACTCACAACTCACAACTAGTGCGGTACACTTACAACTCACAACTAGTGTGGTGCACTCACAACTCACAACTAGTGTGGTACACTCACAACTCACAACTAGTGTGGTGCACTCACAACTCACAACTAGTGCGGTGCACTCACAACTCACAACTAGTGTGGTGCACTCACAACTCACAACTAGTGTGGTGCACTCACAACTAGTGTGGTGCACTCACAACTAGTGTGGTACACTCACAACTCACAACTAGTGCGGTGCACTCACAACTCACAACTAGTGTGGTGCGCTCACAACTCACAACTAGTGTGGTCACTCACAACTCACAACTCACCCACTGGAGCGGTGCAACTCGCTACTAGTCTCAAGTACTCGCCACTACTGTGACGCGCTCGCTAGCTCTGCGCGCCAACTGGTGACGTTTATTGGCGTGGCCGAGCCTGACCGCAAGCTCGCGTGCGGTGCGTGTGCGGTCCTGTGCGCCGTGCGGTGTGTACGTGCGGCGTGTACGTGCGGCGTGTACGTGCGGCGTGTACGTGCGGCGTGTACGTGCGGCGTGTACGTGCGGTGTGTACGTGCGGTGTGTACGTGCGGTGTGTACGTGAGACGTGTACGTGCGGTGTGTACGTGCGGTGTGTGTGTGCGGTGTGTACGTGCGGTGTGTACGTGCGGTGTGTGTGTGCGGTGTGTACGTGCGGTGTGTACGTGCGGTGTGTGTGTGCGGTGTGTACGTGCGGTGTGTACGTGCGGTGTGTACGTGCGGTGTGTACGTGCGGCGCAGACCTCGGTGGTCGTGGCCGGCCCCGCGGGGGTGGTGCAGCTGTCCGTGTGTCGCTGTGGCCGCTACCGCGCCTGCTGGGACTGCGTACTGGCGCGGGATCCCTGCTGCGCCTGGGACCCCCAGCAGAGGCTGTGCAGGCGTCACGGCGGGGGAGACCGGCACCGGGGTGAGCGGGGCGGCAATCGCACAAAGACAAAGACACCCCCCCCCCCCCCCCACCCCGTAGCCTTCGCAGACTGTTGGGGCAAGTGCTGTTAGCGAGCACTTCACACAAGGAGGTGGGCCGCCAGCACTACACCGACGGTGACGATGTTTACACGTCACCCCGGGTACTCATTTGTACGGCTCGGTCAACCCAGGGGAGGACCGGTTCAGATAATCGTCACCGGTGTTGGTGAGCGGGTATGGGTCGCCAGGTTAGTGGCGCAGCAGCGTGCTCACCACTCCGCCACCGCTCCCCCCACACTCAACCACCACCGTCCACCACTAAGTGGCAGTGACGTCACCACGGAGCTTGTGGCAGGCTAGGTGCGCTTCGAAGCCACGTGAAGTGTCGAGGGCTCACTGCTGGGAGGAGGTCACGGAACAGACCCAGGCGCCATGGGTTGACTGACCGAGATGACTGGCAGATGTGTACCGACTGTGCACCCCACTGTGCCAACCTGCTGTTTTAGCCGCCCGGTACTCCGCTCGTTGTTGCGAGCGTCGCTCCTCCGTCGTCCGTCGTTGCTGGCGGGCGACCGCCCTCCGGCAACACCGCACAGAGGCTGATCTCGAGTGGACTTCGGCAAGTCCACTCAGCTCCACATTTTTCTCGCCCGGGCCGTGCCAGTTTTTTAGCCCCCTCTATCTGGCCAATCAGAAGCTGCTCGGGCATGCGGGCTACGTGATGCAGCCAACAACGCAGCGTCGCCTGCCGGAGGGCCTCACCGGCGTGACTGTGTCCAGATCTTTCAAGGATCTGCGAGCTCCTCGCACACTCGCACACACGGGGCTGAAGGGGGCGGGGAGCAGGGCACCCTGTGAGCGTGGGTATCACACGTGCAGACACGTGTACAAAGACAAGGACCCCCCCCCCCCCTCGTGTAGCCTCAACAGACTGTTGGGGCAAGTGTTGTTAGCGAGCATCTATGAAGACCAGAACGGCACATGAGGGGGTGGGGCGGCCAACACCACGCCCGGCCGCCTTTGTCTCCCCAGTGGCGATGTTTACTACGCACCGCACCAGGTACTCATTTGAGGCCGAGTCGACCTAGGGGAGGCCCAGGACCGGTTTAAATAATCGTCACTGGGTGTTGGCCGTGAGCGGGAATCGAACCCGGGTCGCCGGGCTCGTAGCGCAGCGTAGCGCTAACCGCTGCACCGCCGCTCCCCCATCCCCCTCCCCTGTGTGCCCCCCCCCTCTCCACAGGTCGTGGCTACAGGACGTGAGCGGTGGTGACGCGACGACGCTCTGCTCCGCTCACCCGCCAGGTCGGTGCTCACCGCGCCGCACCCCGCCTCCAGCCTCACCTCCCCCACACTCGCCGCGTCTCCGCTGCCTCTCCCTCCCCGTGTCTCTCCCTCCCCGTGTCTCTCCCTCCCCGTGTCTCTCGCTCCCCGTGTCTCCACTGTCTCTCCCTCCCCATGTCTCTCCCTCCCCGTGTCTCTCCCTCCCCGTGTCTCCACTGTCTCTCCCTCCCCGTGTCTCTCCCTCCCCGTGTCTCCGCTGTCTCTCCCTCCCCGTGTCTCTCGCTCCCCGTGTCTCCGCTGTCTCTCCCTCCCCGTGTCTCTCCCTCCCCGTGTCTCCGCTGTCTCTCCCTCCCCGTGTCTCTCCCTCCCCGTGTCTCCGCTGCCTCTCCCTCCCCGTGTCTCACCTCCCCGTGTTTCTCCCTCCCCGTGTCTCTCCCTCCCCGTGTCTCCGCTGTCTCTCCCTCCCCGTGTCTCCGCTGTCCCGTCCTCACCGTCGTCTCCGCCGCCCCCGCGTCGCGTGCAGACGTGGTGGCCGTCCGCGTGGCGCTGGCGCCGCTGCTGCTGCTGCCCTGCTCCCCCCCCTCCCGCCTGGCGCGCCTCTCCTGGGAGCGAGACTCCGGCCCGGCCCCGGGGCAGCCGCTGCCCGAGGCGGGCCTGCTGCTCCGCCAGGGCGCCCCCCCGGCCCCCCGGGATCTCACGGGCACGTACCTGTGCTGGGCCGAGGAGGGCGGCCACTGGCGCCTCGTCGCCAGCTATACCGTGCAGCTTCCGGGCTCTTCCTCCTCCTCCTCGTCGTCGACCACCACCACCTCCTCCTCCGTAACCAAGCGGAAGTCAAACAGGCAGCAGGCGAGGCCGGACCCAACGACGGGCACCGCGGCCACGTCAGAGTCGGCGCACGTCGTGCCCGGTAAAGACGCCTCCACGTCCGATTCCCCGCCGGGGTTCGGCCCGGGGTTTTTGGTCGGGCTGCTGGTGACGGTGGTGCTGGTGGCGGCGGGGGTCGCCGTGAAGAGGCGCTTCTTCCCAAAAGCCGCCTTCCCGTGCTCGCCCAGCGCGGACGACGTCGCCGACGCGGCCGAGGCCGCGGCCGCGGCCTCGGCGTCGGCCGCGGCCGCGTCGTCCAACGGCAGGGCGACGACGGAGCCCGAGCGGGGCGGGCAAAACGGCGACGGCGGCGGCCCCGGCGACAACGCCAACGGCAACAACAACGTCGCGGCGGGGCGGGCGGACGGCGACGGCGCGGGCGACGCGCCCGGGGAGGAGGGCGACGAGGAGGAGACGCAGAAACCGCTGCTCGTGCGGCTCGAGTCACTGCAGCGCAGCTCCGAGGCGTGACGGCGGCACGGGGAGACGCCGAGGCCACGCGGGGCGGCGGCGGCGGCGGCGGCGGCGGCGGCGTGGGGACGCCCGCCGCGATACCTTGAGGGCTCCCTCGTCACGAGGGGCGGTGGGGACCCTTCGGAGGTCTCCCGCAGAGGGGAGACGCGGACGTCGAAGCACAAGGAGGAGGCGGGGGGGGGCGGGACGGGAACATTCCGGACGCCGTCGCGGTGCGCGCTCGTGCCCCCCGACCCGGAACCCCCCAAACGCCGCGAGGGGATTGGGCCTCGGAGGTTGCCGAGGCGACGGCGGCGGCGTCGGGCCTGGTGGGCCTGGCGGGCCTGGCGGGCCTGGCGGGCCTGGCGGGCCTGGCGGGCCTGGCGGGCCTGGCGGGCCTGACGGGCAGCCAAAGGCCCCTTCACTCGCCGCGTTCGCCGGCGCCGACGGGTGGGAGGCCGAGGCCGGTCGGGTCGGTGGGGACCGGTGGCGATCGGCGCTACGACGCACGCCGAGTGTGGGGGGGGCTGGGGGGGGGGGGGAGTGGTGGTGACTGCGATGTGCTCGCGAGCCGGAGGAGTAGGAGCAGTAGAAAATCCATGGTGGTTTGAAGGGGGGGCAGGTTTGGGTTGAGAGGGGGGGGGGCGGCTGGTCTGATCGACTCTCGGTCCCAGCCTCTCCTCCACGCGCTGGTAGAGCTGCATGGACACGTAAGGTGCACGCCGTCACTTATTATTTTTAAAACTTAAATGAATTATTTGTGTGTACATATATATAAAAAAAACCCTACACATTTCTGCAACGACAAATAACTGCCACGAACGTTTTCCCGATAGCGCGTAGAGTGCAGAGGAGTATTGCTTGCTGAGCCAGTGCGGTGGATCGTTGGTATTATTGTTGTTGTTGTTGGAGTAAGTTATTGAACGAGCACGCTGGCGTCTGTTGTGCCGTTGTCAAAAAAACAAGGGGGCGCGCCCGGAGGCTCGGAGGTTCGGAACGCCGAGATGCGGCACCGCCCGTGGTTAAGCCGCCGCCCGTGGTTAAGCCGCGTTTCTCAGGTTTGCCGAGGCTGACGACGTCTGCCGGCCGCTCACCACTTTCAAACTCCTTCCCACGTTCCGGGACGTCTGCAAGTAGTGGCAGGTAGTGGGGGGGGGGGTGGGTGGGGCGCCACGTTCACCGCCGAATCTCGGAACGCCCGAGCGTTCCCGGCGTTAATTTTTATTCGGAGAGGCACGGTGGCAGCGCCGTCGTTTTAAAATGACGTCGTTTCTCGCCGCAGAGAACCGGAGCGACACGAACGGCCGCGCCTTACAACAGCCGGCGCCGAAACTGGTGCCACGCGCCCTCCCGCGTGGCCCCGCGGGAGCCTCGGCGTCCCGATAAAGTAAATTTTTTTTTCGTTCGCTCGTGTGCGTCATTGGACTGGGGTTACTGTGGCCAAATCGCGGCGCTTGAGCGTCGAAAAGGGGTCGCTGCTCTGTCAGCGAGGGGCGAGCGGGAAAGTGCTCCCGGCACGTGGGCGGCGGCGCGCGCCCCACCCCCTTCCACCTTTGCCAGGTTTCCGAACGGATTCTTCGCCGCCGACGGCGACATTGCAGACAAGAGTTTGGGAACGGTGCAAAGGATGGATGGCGGGGGACCGCGTGCAGGTTGGCGGCGCCTTCCTGCGGGGCCCGTTTCGAGGGGCAGGCAGTCTCGACTTTCACCAGCAGCGTGGGGGGCACCGCGGGGCGCGCCGTGGGGCGAATCGGTACGTTTTCTATTCACGCCACCGTTCTTATCTCGCGTGGCGAAAGTCGCTGAGGAAAGCCGGCTGTGGTTCGCCGACGCTTTCCGACAGGATTCGTTTAATCTTCTTTGGTTCTTTCGGTAAAGTCACCACGTAGAATGAGAATAAAATAATAAATTGATAAAATAAAATAACACGATAAAATTCTCACGACGTTTCGGCCACAACGCTCCAGCGCTGTCCTCCAGACAGTCTCGTCCCTTCACCTGATGAAGGCTACTTGTGTTGTGGCCGAAACGTCGTGAGAATTTTATCGTGTTATTTTATTCTATTAATTTATTATTTTATTCTCATTCTACGTGGTGACTTTACCGAAAGAACCAAAGAAGATGAATCCTTGCATTCACGAAAGCTTTAAATCGAAATTTAGGATTCGTTTCGCCGACAGGACTCGCCCAGTTCCACGGAGGCGATGTGGCTGCTGCTGATGCTGCTGCTCCACTCCCCAATCGATTCGGTCGCGGTGTTCAGTTTGCAACTTTTGCGCAAACGTGGACCGTGACGGTGGCACACAATGGCTCTCCTCGTTCCGACCGGCGACCTCCCCCCAACCCCGGGCCAGGATCTTTTAAACATCCACCAACCCCTAGCAGAGAGACGCGGAGAATGTTTACGGTTGACGCACACCGCAGTATGAACCAGTGTTAAGGGATGTGTTGCTTACATCAGAACTTGTATATGTACGGCGTGCTTTTATCCTGCTTCCACTGCAGACGGGGGGTGCCATTCGACCTGCCACGGCGCCCACCATGGCTCAATGATTCATTGCAATCCAGGGGAGTGTCACGGCGGTGTACACACGGCGGTGTACACACGGCGGTGTACACACGGTGGTGTACACACGGTGGTGTACACACGTCGTGTACACACGGTGGTGTACCCTCTGTGCGTGTCACGTCGTGTACACACGGTGGTGTACCCTCTGTGCGTGTCACGTCACGTAACAGCATGTACACACGGCGGTGTACACGCGGCGGTGTACACACGGTGGTGTACCCTCTGTGCGTGTCACGGCGTGTACACGGCGTTACTGCTGCACGAGTTGGCACTCACACGGAGTGACGCTCGGGTACAAGGCCACGGCTAACCGGAACTGGCGTTTGCCCAAGGCTGCTGTAAGGGGCAGGGCTGGACATCCTTGAGGGAGGCCCCACGAGCATTCCTCCTTTTGAGCAACTACTCCGCTCTGGATGTGGACAAAGCAGTTGCGGGGCGGGCGGGCGGACGATGAGTTTGGTCGCGCGACCGAGCGCATCTCGGCTGTGGGCACAAGTGTTTGTTTTTTTATCGTTGTTTTGTTCGCCTCCGACCTCGCACGCGAGCGAATCGATTGTGAATGTAGCAGCCTCCAGTGGCTGCGCGGGTCTCACCCGGACCCACCACGTGCGCCACGACGATTCTCCGCTTGTGCCGCGCGCGGGATATGAATCGGCGCGGGCGGGGGGGAGCGGGCGGGGGGGGGGGGGAGCGGGCGGGGGGGAGCGGGCGGGGGGGGGGGGGAGCGGGTGGGGGGGGGGGGCGCGCGGATTTTTTAGCGTTGCTGCGGTTTTTTTTTATTAAAAAAATGTATGTAATTATTTTCTTGTCATCACCAAATGTTGAGCGGCGTCCCTGTCGTCCGTCTCAAGGGGTTCCCACAATGTGATGCCAAGCCTCGTCCTTGAGCGCTCTCTGACCGTGACCGGCAACGCCGACATTGCGACTCTGAACGACGGCGTTGTGACGGCGGTAGTCCGACTGACGGCTCGGTCTCACACCCGAGTAAGGGCTTTCGCGACCAGTATCACCCGTAAGAGGTTTGTGGGGGTAAATATAAATGTGTCGGTAAACCCGCCACCACCCGACACGTCCAATTAGTAAGGTTTGTCACATAAACAACGCCAATTAGCTACTGCATTTATACTTGCGTGATCTTAACCCAAAATAACCTCTCATCGGTGACTTACAACTGTGACCACTCAGACCAGGCCACCGTGACTCACCAATGTTTTACCCCCGTGTCTGAAATCTGCAACCAGTCGACTGTTCTGTGACTTGATGTTTGACCACCGTGACATCAGTAAGTTAACTTTTGCTGACTTCTGACCGCCTAACTGCTTGTGACATCTTTGATGTATCAACGCGAACACTGCGTGCTGTTGGACACCCACACCGTCACGTGTCGTGCCAACCTTAATAGGCGCTGGTTCTCGCTAACAGCACTTGCCCCCACAGTCTGTTGAGGCGACACGGAGGATCTTCTTTGCCTTTGGGCACAAAGAAACAAAGATCCCCCGTGTAGCCTTAACAGACTGTAGGGGCAAGTGCTGTTAGCGAGCACCTATGCAGGCCGGCACAGCACGCGAGGGAGTGGGTGGCCAGCACCACGCCCGGCCGCCTTTGTCTCCCCAATGGCGATGTTTACGCCGCACCAGTTACTCATTTGAGGCCGAGTCGACCTAGGGGAGGCCCAGAACCGGTTCAGATAATCATCACTGGTGTTGGCCGTGAGCGGGAATTGAACCCGGGTCGCCAGCGCGCTCCACACACGCGCAAGCAAGTTAGCGGGCGTGATTCCGATTCGCATCACCCCTGAGTCCACCCACGTGAATCTACGGGCGCCACGTCTCCCCCCCCTCCTCCCCTCCCTCATCCAACGTTGCGCCCAGATGTCAATACACACACACGGGTACCGGATTATAAGAACCCCCCCTCCTCCTCCACATTCTGCTTTAAAATACGGCGCTCGTTCGTCTCGTCCGAATTCGTAGCTTCATGCACTAAATTGCACGCTAATGGTTGTGCCAACGGCGCGTGGAATGAACGTCCCCTGTACGTTAAAGCAGCCCCCCCCCCCCTCCTCGTCCACCTCTTTCCGTTCCTCTCTCAACATCCTCGCCACCTCTTTCTCTCCGTCGACCCCCCCCCTCCAACTCGTTCCCGTCCCTCCCCTGCAGCTCTCTCTCTCGTGATGGTCTCGGTGTGTGTGATGTCAGGCGGCTTGAGCCAAGGCGCACTGTGTGTGAAAATGAAATTCAGAAACAATGCCAAACGGAGTGGCAGACAAACGAGCGAATCGAATGTTGAATAGGCAGCCGTGATGCCATCGGGATGGGGCGGGTGGAAGACAAGCAGCAGTTGTAATGAAATGAGTTTTGTCAATCCCGAGATGATTTAAAAAGTGGCATCACAGTTCCCCAGTGGGCATCACAGTTCCCCAGTGGGCTTCCTAATATCGGAAAGGGGGGGGGGGGGAGGCGGGGAGAGAGCGTTCCAGACGGCCGCAAGACGCGTATCGCGTGAACGCCGAGTTTGTCCGATGGCGAGCCAAACCGTGACCAGTAATTGAATCGATGCGGGGTGGGTGGGTGGGAGGGAGCGGATGGGGCCCATAAATTATGCTAATTAGTGTCCTCTCACCCACCACGTGACCGCGGGTATTAATTGCAACGTTAATTGTAAGTCGACGCTGTAAGATAACGTGAATCGGCGACAGTGTGAACGATAATTGTTGATGTGGAAGTCGATCGGTGTCAAGGGGCGGCCCGAACGTGGGGGGTGGGGATTTATCGATCCACAAATCGGCTCTTGATACAGAAGTCACGTGACAGGAATCACTTTAACGATTTAAAATAAACAATTCTAAATGTATATCACAGCTTTGTATGCTTAAACATCGGTCGATTTCCCGTTTGAGAATTTAATCGTTTAAAAAACGGCCATTTACGTATTCCTTATATGGGCAAAGCCATGCCCCATATTACTCCAGAAATGGGCCTTCAGCATTAAACATTCCTGCGGAGGGAGCTGGTAGGAACGTTGGGTTGCTCGGTCAATGGCCAGGGTCAACGGCGGCACCACGTGGTGTATTCCGCAAATATGCCCGACTGAGGGCGGGCACAAGCCGGCGTGAGTAGGTTAAACGTTGAGTTTTACAAGGGCACCACGGGGTGACCAGCCCAGCCCCACCCATTTTTGGATGCACGACGGACGGACACAATAATCC